GTGTCTGTAAATTTCTTCCAATTTTGGACTGTTTAACTGTTTAAGTTTAAACATTTTTGTTAAGTTAAACAGGAGGGATGTATAACTTTTCCATCAACATTTGGCTGAAATTTCAGTTGAGCTTGTCACATGGAAATTGCATAAATGAGTTCAGACAGGCGACAAAGAGAAAAACAAAAAACATGTAACTGTATACAATAAAATTTGCCTTTTCTAATACGTATAATAGATTTCACTAAAATAACAAACAGCTTATCCAAACCATTACACTACTTCCAATTTTGAAGATTTCAATTTACTTTAGTTGCCAAAATCTTAGTCACACTGACCAATAATAAATTTGTTTTCTTCGAATGATTCCAGCCATTTCAAAATATAAGATGAAACGACTCACCTCTTTCAGGCATCACTATTTACGTCTTACTTTTAAACATCTAGCGTGCAGCAGTATTTCGATTACAAAAGACAGTATACATTCATTCATAATAACTGACCTTATTGTCAATGTTTATGCTCTGAAAGTGAAATAAAGATGCACGTTTGGATTTATACATACAATCTAATTCTGTTTCAGTTTATACTATGACATGTATGTCGATATATCTATCTAAGTACCTCTAATGTCAGAATAATATGCTGCAATGCACAACTGAACTTTTACATAAACATCTCATTGTGCATCAATTAAAATATAAACACATACTTTTATCCAAATTAGTTGTAATAGTGCGCATAAAATGAGGAAAATGTGACTACGTACTTTCCAATTTTATACATCTGGTTGTTTTCCGGCTGATAATACATGTGAGTATCTGTTTACAAGTTGATAGTCTGTTCACAAAGTCAACATGAAAGATGCCATGTCCGGTGTAACGTGACACAGAGTCCGTCGAAACATAGAGTCCGCGGACTCCCGCTTTCAGAAACCAGGGGTCCGTAGGACCCCTGGTTTCTGAAACAGGGAGTCCTCATTAAAATATAGGGTCCCTCTAGTGTGACAGAGAGTCCGTGTAATATAGGGTCCCCCGGACTCTCTATTACACGGACTTTCTGTCACGTTACAACTATAGCAAAACTCAGAGTCCGTGCTTGTCCTCTAATTTAAATATTTATTAAGTGTTCATAAACATAGTCATCAATATTCATATTGTATTACTACTGAACACGAAAAGGCGTTGACAATAAGAGTCACGGTGTTTCGGGTTTTCGGCACAGCTTCCTTCGTGGTACAGTGGCAGAGATACAGGGTTGGAATAGAGGCTGTCCAGCAGCTGATATGAAAATGAAAATGGTGAGTAAGCAGGTTCGTATCACACAGAAGCCCCTTAAGTCTCAGGGCGTTTCTATAAACATATTTAACTAAAATTGATCCTTTTTATCGATATCCCAATGTTATTTTTAATTTTGTTATGATATTTAGTGAATACTTTTCGATGGGCAAGCTCATTTTACGCTTGGTGAATATTACTGCATTCACTAGATAAACCAACGTAAAAGCTAAACCCACATAAAGATATTCACCCGTGTTTTAATGGATACGCCATAGGGAATTTTAACTCTTCACACACGAGACCNCCCCCCTCGACGCGTGAGACACGGGCGCATCTCTTGCTTGATATCGATGTTCTGCCATTTGTACTGTCTACTATTTCTGCGCCACAATAAATCATCTAAAAAACCCAACCTTCACCGTCTCAAACGGCTTCCCAGGGTTTTTGTACGTCTCTGATAAAAATGGCTACAAGAGGGGTTTTAATCCTCTGGGCAAGAAATGTTTTTATTTACTTTTTACGTTATTCACTTATTCCAACATTAGACGAGTATATCGTAATCACGCTTGAAACAATTTTTCGGGTTTTGTAACGATTTGAATAAGGTAAAATAAGAGAGTCAGCAGGAGAAAAATTAGTTAGGAACATAAAGAAAGGCGCAAGCGACAAAGAGAGAGAGAGAGAGAGAGAGAGAGAGAGAGAGAGAGAGAGAGAGAGAGGGGGAAAGGGGAGAGCATAGTATACAAAGACACATTCACAGACAACTTTGTGTTATAATATTTATTTATTCCCTCTCGTCCTGCCAGAACTTCACATAGATGTGCTTACACAAGCAAAAGGGAAGGAAATAATTGGACTGTGCTTTTACACTACAACTCTACATCTACACAGCTATCCTGACCATTATATACACTATACAATCAGTTAAGTTAAATTTCCTATGTAGCGGCAACAGTTGCCGCGGATAGATTTAATTGTATATTATCCAAAATAAGTAAACAGTGGATTCTATTCGCAATTGACAGTACTCTAGGCAAGTTGTATAACTGTATTTTTTTCTTTGCACAGAGGCCTAAGCTTATCATTATATATGTAATTAGCATTTACATACTTCCTGTGGCATGGTAAAATGCCTGTGCCTGCAAACAATCTTGGGTTGCATTTTTATAATTTTGCGGTATGTCTATTCTGAATGTATTCTGTTACATATTTGGTAGCTGAAGATGATGGTTAGGCATGTAATTCCCGTCCATATAAATCCCCTTTAACAAAAAATGAACAATGACCAAGCCCTCAACTTTGCCTGGGTTGAGTCCTATCTTGATCTTTACTGACACCTATAGTACCATGAAGATATCACCAGGCAAGTTGCCATTTGATTGGCCAATATTGCTTTGGCAAGGTATGTGAATATCCACAAATAACTACACGAGTTTGAATTCAAACAGTATAATTATCCTATGATGTGCCATGTTCTTAATAAAACAAAAAATTATAACTAGCACATTATACACAAGCATCTTTCTAGTTTACACTTTTCTATATAACCAAGTTAGAATTTCAATGAAGGCCTTGCCATAATCAGCTACTTAACCCTGCTTTTGCCACTTTTTTTCTAAATTTTGGCCTTAAAAGTAATTAAATTTCACAAAGATACATACCATATATATAAGGCACAAGCTTTTACTGTAGGATTACACAGACAAGTAGCTGACAAACTGTCACACAAGTGTTGGTCACAATCTCACTTGCATCACAAATTGGATGGATTTTAAAATATCGTCTTGGGCTAGAGCGCCCTCTATGTTTTAAAAATCTGTACCACAGCACCATCTGATATGACTTCTGTTCACTTTTGTAAATATCATTTCTGAAGTTAAAAAAATCTATACTAAAATACTAGATTTTGTCAGAAGAATAAGTTATCATTATATAAAAACTGCAAACAATTGCTCTTTGTTGCACTTTACATCAAAATGGACTGTTAAAAAGTAAGATCAAGCAATGATATGCTTTAAAATTTGGGATATGTTAAAAACCAGTGGGAACATCAACTATCAAGAATATTTCTTTATGCCCAACTCCACCATTTTTTAAAACACAAATGAAATTTCTTTTAATTTTTAATTAATTGCACAGGGCAGATAAATGTGTCACCCTGTTGTCTTTCTTCGTATATTGCAGATACTCTTAGATAAAACAAAAACATTCAAGAATTTGAAAAGAAAAAAAAAATACAAAAACGAAATTTTAAATCAGGATTGAAATAAAGTAAAAGACGACCATTACATTTGAGTACAATTAAATTTGAAATTAATTTCAACATCAAATTAAAAACAAAGAACAGTGGTATTGTTTAGTAAATCAATTCATAAAACACTCTGGATGGAAAAAAGATTGGATGGATACAAGTTGGTCTTTCTTTTTTTGCATCTTATTATATTCAAACAAAAGTTAAATTGTTTTTAAGCAGGGTCTATCCCAATGCCCTTGCAAAAACAATCAAATTTGTATTAAAAATGTTTTGCCAGTATGACATTTGGTCTTCAGATGTGCATGCATTATTATTATTATTATTATTTTTAATATGCACAAAATAGTAATTAGTTTTAAAGGATGTCATGTTTTGTATCATAATAAAATGCATGTCCCACTCAATCCGGTATTAATCTTCTTAAGTACACAAATATTGCCAAAAAGGTGATGTGTTGTTCTTCTCTTAGAACATGAAAAATGCTCCATTATGTGGACAAGAAGTGGTTAGTCCATAATAGATCTGTTATCATGGTTTTAATTTTTTAATTTCTACACATAGGCTATTAAACCTGTTATAGATTCTGTTTCAACCCCTTGAGATTCCATAGTGTTAAGTGGGCATCCCTTATAGAGGTTGGGGGAAAGATCTCACCCATGTTACAGCCTTCAGATTAGGTGTAGAAATTAAAAAGTCAAAACTCTGACAATGACTTAATTTACAACACATTTTTATAGCTTGCTTCAATGAAATATTCCATTGCCTTTGAACCATCAGTGTATTTTCTTTCCCATTTAGTTTCTTTGTTGGTCAAAATGACATCTTCATGCTGCATTATTTTACTTCCAATATAAGTGATGTTAGTTGCCTATCATAATTACGTACCGCTCATCGCATCCAAATCTTAGAATATTTTTTACTATCTAGCACATATATACATTGTACAATATAAATGATGATGATTGATATGTTATAATGAGTACCAACATTTCTGATATAAGCCCTTTATTATATTGGGCATGAGTTATCTTATTGAAAAATATGATTTTTTATCTTCAAAGATAGCAGACCTCTGATGTGACAAGCGGTGAACAAAATGGAGGTCAGTGACTCCAACAACGTAATTCTTTAAAACAAAAAAGTCCAATCTGTCAAGACTTATATCCTTTGTCAATGTTACAAAACATGTAATTCTTACCAGTCAGGGGGGAAATATATGGCCTATGTAGTCAATTGTGGTTCAAGCAAAAAAAAGGTCAAGGTCATTGGGCAATTTCTCTCCCAGAACTTTAGTCATTGCCTTTTTGTTAAATCTGATATCTGCCTGCACTATCTTAAACATAAAACTTATCTAACCATAACAATGGCTATTCAATAGCAGAGTACAAATGGCACTATCAATCGAACCAGCTCTCATGTACCTCAAGTGCAAAAAAAGTTAGTACATTAGGAGGTCAAACAAAGTAAAAAAACAAAGAAAAACAAAGTAAAATGCAATGATTATTTTTTCAATCAGCCTTTTGTAAAATATTCATTGGAACAAAGTTACTATGCTCCTAAAAATGCAAATATCTGGTAATATTCCATAACTGACTTCATATCTTCAGACAAAAGATGAAGCTCCTCTTCAGCATGTCCAAATGTTGAATGTGGGTGACTCCATCAAATGAATAACAACGTATTTTGTATATGCTACAGCATGATAGCCCAGTTGCAAATAGAATGGAACAAATCTGTAACATTTGTCAAGCTACATATATGACCTCGACTATTAATTGTGAAATATACAGCTGTTGCCTTCAATGAAAGAACCTTTGTCTGCCCATTTCTTTTGAAGATATACATAAAAATGGCAATGTTAGATAAGCGAGTGACATGTTCTTAAAAGTGCACAGCATCCTCTTAGCATGTAATAAATCAATCATTCACAGGTTTCCAATTTTTGGGGGCCCAAAGATAATTGCCCTAATCTGGTCACCAGGCGGCAGCAGCATACAAACTTGATAGCAATTACGCCCCCTAATCACTGGCAAAATAAATCCACGAAACACCATCCACTGGAGTAGTAAACTTTGCATTAAGAAAGCATTAAGCAAAATCAAAATGTGTCAAATAATCAATCCAATGCCGCTTTTTATTTCATAAAAAGACAAAAACCAAGGCTAAAACCGAGTTCCTTCTGGTTGTGACCAAAGAGCTACGCCATTTTTCATAGTTCTGTAATAAGCGTGGTTTTCTTGATCACCTTATTGTCACCAGAGTATGACACGTGCCACGGCGATAGATCAGTGGAATTAGACGGGGCCCGTGTGACTGTTACTGTGCTTGTTGTTGTCTTGGCTGTGACTGGTTTGTTGGCGCTTGTGGACACTTTCCTGGTGTTTGGGTTGCTACTGGTGAATGAGGTTTCCTGGTAAAATAGAGGAAGCATTGCATGAATTTACATAAACTATGTTGTGTGGCAGGCCCAATTCCAATTAAGAAACAGCCAATGTCCAACTGGGTTTATTTCTAATCATCTTGATTGGAAATGAGTCATGGCAAATTAAGACTGCCTGAAAATGGATTGGTCTAAGGATATTTTCATATATGATGAAAATTTTACAGTGCACATACGTTATTTAAATAATGAAAAAGAAATATCAAAAGTAATTCAGTTCATAGCAATAATGTAAGGTAAGGTGTAAATTTGAAATTACAATAGTTTTTGTACTAAATTAGATTAATAAATTACATATTGATCATCAACTTAAAAACCAAGAAAAGCCAGAAAAGAAGCCTTTTCTGAATTAAGATCACATATTGTGAATCGAGCTTCAGATGCGAAGTCTGCTCTTCATTTTCAAATATCCTTACGTGCCTCCTTATCGGACTCAGATTATCTACAGCATTTGATTCAAGGTACTGCAGAAATCACAAGTTTAGCTTAAGGGATGGCCTCAATTACAACAATCTGTTTACCATACCAGAGGCCCTTTTATGTATGCAGGAAATTTGGATGTTAAAACATGCCTTTGCAATTGGCATAGAAACCTTGAATCACATAAGGCTGAATGTTAAGTCCAATAAGCCTGCACATGTGGATATTGCAAATATAGTAGCTAGCAAATATGGGGTATGAAACTCATTTTAACACAGTAATACACGATTTTTTAAAAAAATAATCCAATTAAATGAAATAAATCAATAAACCAATATATATATCTAAGGCCCTTTTCACATCAAGCAGAACAGCTTTCGGTTTTGCACCAGTTTGATTGGTATTAACATCCACATATATGCAACATGGGATTTTACAGGGCCAAATGTACCAATAAATATGAATGCACTGAAATGTTTGAGTTGAGCACAGTGGGTTGGTAAGGCCAACTTAAGTTTTATAGCCAGGCTAAAAAAAAAAATTTAAAGGGAAATACAGAAAACTCCACCCCCTCCCTTGATGTGAAAAAGGCCAAAAAAAAAAAAAAAAAAAAAAAAAAATAATAATAATAATAATAATAATAATAAATAAAATTTTAAAAAATGAAATAATAATTAAATAAATAAAAATCAAAGTGAAATGCAGGCTGTGGGAAGATGAACAAGGTGTGGCAAAGATGCAGGATTTTGTCATGCATGGGAAGCATGCAATAAGTAAAGATCTGTTATATCAAAGAGCTTAACATTATCAGAATTGTCAGGTTTAACTCGTTCAATTTGTCCATTTCAGCTGATCAAGCTATTTCAAATACATTGCCATTTTACTAATTTACTTTCAAATTCTTTACCACATACCATGTACAACTACATGCTTTAAAGTTTTATACCACTGAAACAATCTGACAAATAACATATTGAGTGTATTAACAAGATCCAACAATTAACATGTTATCTTATGTACTCTGAAAGGTTTAAGTAAAATCAATAGAGACAACTTTATATTGAAGCATGCACCATGCTTAAAAGCAAAGGAATTATTAAAGTATCACTACTTCAGATAAAAAAAAAAGCAATCAATCCACAGGGGTTGCCATCTCTACAATCAACTACAAGCCTAACTGAAAATTTACTGTCTGCAGAGAAAGTGACTCATAAACACATCCATGATCAAAGCAATACATAAAAGTGAAAGGGTAACATATAATCAAATAACACAGATACAAATAAACAAGGAAGGCATGCAAATTTTCTCATGCAACATACTGTCAGGTCAGGCAAAAGGAAATCAAAAATCAAAAGAAGAATTAAATAAAATAAACATTCTGGGTGTGAATACACAGTCAATGCATCTGTACAACTTGACGCTATGAGAACTTACAATGCGAATAGGATGCATCTGTCAGCATTAATGAGAAAATAAATGGCATGTTAATCTGAACTTTGGTTGACATTTATTGAACTGTGCCATCTACTCCTTGATAAACAGAGCTGTATGAAGTTCTGTTGGGGTCAACATCTACCTCAACCAATCTTTTCCTTTATATCACTGTTGGTTATCTATTTCCATTTTGTCTCTTCTAGACCCAGTGCTGAGTGAACAATCTTCATCATAAAGCTCTGTTGATATCAAAGAACATTCATTAAAAAAAAAAAGTCAATTGGGTTGGAATGGGGTGAGAGGTCAAAGCTAATCTGACCTGACCTGACCTGACCTTTGACCTATGAGAAAACTTACAATGACCTGTCCTGTTGCTGCAGGCGACTTTGGCGCACTCTTGCCACTGGTCATGTGATGCGGAGTCTCGGCAGGCAAGCCACTGCTAGAACTAACAGCGATGGTGTTTGGGCCGTTCGAACGAGTTGGCAGGGATTTGTTGTCCAATGGGAGGGAAGGGGCGGGGACATTTGGACGTGGGAGGCGTGGCCTGGATGTGACTGGCACATAGGGCTTTGCACCCTGATATTTTGTTGCCTTTTGAGTGTTAGCTGCTGCTGAAGACATCACCATAGCAGGCACAGTGTTGCTATCAATGGTTTTAGTTGCAGTCGCTTTGCCAACATCATTAGGCTGATCATTTTTTCCAGAATTCTGCTCAAAAGTTTTGTTAGTAGAAGCATGTGCTTGGTTGCTCTTATTCAAAGCTTTCATACGTGCAGCTTTCAAGGCACCAGGCTTAGGAGCAGCGGGTTTGGGAGAAGTTGGTTTGGGTGGAGGAACAGGCGGGGCAATGGCGTTAGCATTAGTGGCAACATCAGTGGCATTAGTAGCAGCAACAGCAGCAGCATCTTTATCTGAAGTCGCCTCGGTTGAGGATGCCAAATCATCAGTTGAAGAAGCAAGCTGGTAGAAAGGGTTGCTGGGTGTGATGACGAAGGTGACAGGGCTGTCAGGCTGACTGACGGGGGAGTTACTGTTAACATTCTCCGAGCTCTTAAAGAAGGGATTCTTGGACTTGGTTGCATGCTTGGTAGGAGGAGAGACAGAGGCTGAAGGAGCTGTAGTTGTAGTTGTCATGTGTTTAGTCAGAGGAGAGGCTCTAGAGTCTAAGAAAGGGTTAGTACTGACAGAGGAAGCGACAGAGGTGCTTGCATCTGGGGCCGCAGTGCCAAAAATGGAGGTTATGTTTTTCAAGATGTCATCCAGTGACATTTCGGTGTCACGAACAGTAGGTGGACTAGCACTCAAACTCAAAGCAAGGTCACCCTGCTCGTTGTTAGGGGAAGTGGGGGATGCCACACGGGCGGAGGGGGAGGAGGAGGAGGAGGAGGAAGAAGCAGCGGGGGTCTTAGCAGACTTTGTACCCCGTGGGACAACAGCAGGTTTTGTTCCTTTGCTTGTGTTCTTGCCTTGCATAGCCTAGGGAGTTGGAAATTAGAAGAGAACATGACCAACAAGTAAAACAACAGTCCAACGTGACATCATCAAAACGTTGTAATAACAGAAGGAAAACAAATTACAGGTTTTGCACATTCAAAGCTTTTAAGCTTCAATGCAAAGCTTTGAAAGCACAAGTCGAACATAACAGCAACAAACAAATGAATTGACATCATCAAAGGGAAACTATTTTGTATGCCCTCTGTCTTTTTTTAGCTAAAAAGATGGGGCATATGTACTTTTTCATTCAAAAGAAAAGCAAGGGGTTAAAGAAAATATTCAGGAGTGGCAGAAAACATTGGGCATGGCAATTCGACTAACTTTCATGTTTTTAAGGTTACGCATCAATAACACAGTAGCTATGTCAGTAGAGTAATCAGTAAATTGACAGACTTGTTCTTTATCAAATTTCATTATTTTCCCTTTATTAAAAAAACATGACATGTACTTCCACTTGTAATTTAATACTGGTGACATGAAAACCAGACCAGCCCAACAAATTCAAGAAGGCAACTACCCTTAATCCAAATGTTTCGTTTTTTATAACCCTAATTCCAAAATATAATTATCAAGGTAATAGCCAAAAGGTACATTTCTCTTCAGGGCTTATCGTTCTTGAATATCGATTCATTTCAAACACCATGTGGTTGTCGGTTCATTTCTCAGTTCCCACATTTAAATAAAATTTATCCAACAAACCACATAAACATCTATCATCCCCTTCCATCAGTGTATTTCACATAAAACTGTACATGGAAATGTCACCTCGACCTTTTCTGAACTCCATATGTGACCTTGAACTTGAAGGTTTTTATACACAAATAAAATTGTTATGTTATGTTGTAAGATGCTAAGCAAAACGTTTACTTTAATTTGGAAGAAAGGCAAAAAATGATTTAAATTTTTACAAGTAAATCCTCTATTCAACTCATTTTCAAAGGAAGAGATTATGCTGTTACTCCAGCGAAAAGGTATTATGGTGCAGTAAAAACATTTCCCCGACATTGCAGGACAGAGGCTGTTTCAGACTGAAGATGGTGCCATTTATTTTAGCACAGTGATACATTAAACAAGCACAGCACCCGTGGCATTTTCCACACGAAGGGGCAGTTTCAGGACCAAGTGCCATCTGACCACCAGAACACAAGCTGTGAAGCTACTAAAATCACTGAGGAACAAATGTGCAAATTATCTTTTAAAACTGATGGATTTTACTTCAGAATTTATTCATGCATATACTTTTTTTTTCTGAAAAAGGTTTTCTGGAAAAACTTTTAAACCAAATCATCACATTTAATTTTGAAATATGAAGGTCATGCAATCGAAAAAATACTCCCATGTCTTAAAAAGAGAATTTAAGAAATTATAGTTTTCAGTTAAATTTTTCTTACTTTCCACAAATAAATCAGTATATGTTAGGGTTTGGGGCATTTTCTCCAGTGATTTAGAAAAGACTTTATTTTAGAAGACAAAGAGCACATGTGATCCACTTGGTTCCCCCTAGTTAAAAGAAATGGACTCTTCTGACTGCTTCAACAACACCTTATGAGAGTCAATTTCTCTTTTTTTTAAGGGTTCGCAGGTGTTATAACATTTATCTTAACCTTGTTTAATGTTACTTGTATCACACAAGTGTTCCGAGACGAATGGGCTGCTAAAATATGAAAAGATTAACACCCAATTACAAATACTTCAAATAATTGCCAGTGAGTATGAAATAAAGACAATTCTTATCTTGGAATAATATTCTAACGACAAATAACAAAAGTGGACTCCAAAGAATGAATTTTCTAGCTTGTGTTGAAAGAAGCCTAAAAATAAGATAATTGGTGGAGGGGGCAGGGAGATAAAAAAGACTTAGCATATATCAGTTCATCTGCTGTCACTTTGGTGTTTTTAAACACAGCAGAAAGGTTTTAAAGAAAATATGAAGTTTACATCAACCTTTCAGATGGATTGTCAAAACATAATTAAGAAACACTTATGTGTTTATAAGGCCCATCACCAACATTTATTATAACTGAAATATGTATGAATATTCATATGCTATATTTCAATACAATATACATGAGTAATATTTCACCATAATGTTATATGATTATTATGATTTACATTTTAATATGCATGTATGTAATACACACATGACCAGCCACCATATAAATAGAAACGGAACACCATGAGCCACAGAGCTTGCAAACAAGATAATTCTTCCACACAAAGATAAATTACAATCGAAAATCTTGGCTTTCTCCTCAAATTCTATACATTTTATGATAACACTTGTAGGGGAGAAAAAAAACGTTCCCAACCTTGGTTAAATATTTCATTTTAGAACCAATACTGCAATTGGAAATTTTTAGCAAATGCTTTCAAATCATATAACAAATAGCTCACTGGGACTGGAATCAAATGCAAAAGAAAAATCTATTTGCAATGCCTTGCTCTCACTGTGTATATCATATCATATTATCCATAGTATCTCCAACAATCTACATTTGTTTTGTTTTTTTTTTTTTAATTTCTGAGCACAACCATTCATTACGCTACACTTACCACCACAGGTGTTGNGTAACGGTAGCCGTCCGGCGGAGCCGGCGGAGCAAACGGAGCCGGCGGGGCCGGCGGAACGATCCGGACGGGACCGAAACCATGTGTACCGCCAGCGCTAACGCTGGTGGTACAATAAAGACAATTCTTATCTTGGAATAATATTCTAACGACAAATAACAAAAGTGGACTCCAAAGAATGAATTTTCTCGCTTGTGTTGAAAGAAGCCTAAAAATAAGATAATTGGGGGAGGGGGCAGGGAGATAAAAAAGACTTAGCATATATCAGTTCATCTGCTGTCACCTTGGTGTTTTTAAACACAGCAGAAAGGTTTTAAAGAAAATATGAAGTTTACATCAACCTTTCACATGGATTGTCAAAACACATTAAAGAAACACTTATGTGTTTAAAAGGCCCATCACCAATATTTATTATAATTGAAGTATGTATAAATATTCATAATATGCTATATTTCAATACAATAAACATGAGTTATATTTCACCACCATGTAAAATGATAATTATGATTTACATTTTGATATGAACATATATAATACACACACGACCTGCCACGTGCACCATATAAATAGAAATGAAACGTCATGAGCCACAGAGGTTGCAAGGAAGATAATTCTTCTACAAAATGATTAATTACTATTGAAAATCTTGGCTTTCTCCTCAAATTCTATATATTTTATGATAACACTTGCAGGGGGGAAAAAACGTTCCCAACCTTGGTTAAATATTTCATTTTAGAACCAATACTGCAATTGGAAATTTTTAGCAAATGCTTTCAAATCATATAACAAATAGCTCACTGGGACTGGAATCAAATGCAAAAGAAAAATCTATTTGCAATGCCTTGCTCTCACTGTGTATATCATATCATATTATCCATAGTATCTCCAACAATCTACATTTGTTTTGTTTTTTTTTTTTTAATTTCTGAGCACAACCATTCATTATGCTACACTTACCACCACAGGTGTTGGGCTTGTTTTGGATACAGGCGACTTTGTGATGGGCGACGTCTTTGTGATGGGTGACGTCTTTGTCACAGGCGACGGTGTGGACCTGGCACTGGCATCACTTCCACCAGTGCTGCTGAGACGCGTTGGGCTCTCCGAGCTGGAAAGACATCGAAACAAGCATGATGGAATATTCTTTGCCAATAGACTTGAAAATCTAGTGTAGAATCAGACATGGGGAAACTGCCTGTCCAACAGGCCATGACCACTTGAAATGCCAGAGGATCTGCAAGATTTTTGATAATGCAGGTCCTCTGGACTGGTAAAGTTTACGTGAAAATACTATATATCTTAATAAATCACATATAAATAAACTAATGTAAATAATTTTTTTAGTTCAGACCAGTATAGAATTGGGAGAACATGCAGTTTCTTCAAAGTTTTTTTTTTTTTCTATTTCTGTGGAATGCATTTAAAATAAACAAATGGAAACCTTCCTACTTCCGTCGTTTGGCCACATTCAGGAAGATTTGAAAACAAAAATCCTGTATTTAGCTACTGGAAGAAGACACTTCAACAGCAACTCTTGGCGTTTCAAAAACTGGGCCACACTTTTTTCCAGGGGAGGGGGGGGGGAGGGAGGGAGATGTAATCCCTTAATTATTCCACACTGACTTAAGACTGAAACTAGGGATAGAAGAGAGATAACACAGCAAAGAGGTTGCAACCAAGAGTCTTCTTTTTTGAGAGTTAAAATTAAAATGCTATTTCATAACACTATTTTTAGCCCCAGTGAAACTCTTGAATGTTTCCTGTCATACATTTGGCATATTTTTCTGGCCAAAATAGTCATAGTCAAAATATTTGATATACTTTGTATTTTGACCATTTGTCCTCACACTCTATGACCTCGACCCATTATGACCTTTACCTCTACAGCCTTGACCCCTATTTCCTTGATTCTCTCTCTCTCTACATACACACATACATACATATATGCTAAATTTCCAAAAGCTCTCATAACAGCTAAAATATCTACTGAGTATTTGTGACCTGACCACATCCTAACCAAAAATGCATAATACCACAAAAGAGTTTTCCAGTCTCTTGAATAACAATAATAACACAGGGAAAAAATAATTTCTGTAGATACCAAACACATTTTCTATTCCGACTCTTCAACAAAGGGACTTGATCAAATATTGATGGGTTGAATCATAATGCCACATAGGTAAAAACCTTTTATCTCTTTAGAAATGATTTCCCTTTCCAATCAATACGTGTGAATGGTAATGAAGTTGACTCTTCACAAACGTAAAACCATGCAAGAGACATCAACATTTTATTATTCTTCGTTTTTAAATGAAAATGTGCAAATCATAGCTTGCATTTTCAGACAAAATGATTTTAAAGCAGAGATTTTATGCAAAGAAAAGATTGATTAGACTTTAGATCAGGGAACATTGTGTATCTTTTCCAGCGAAGATGGATTGAAAAGCAAAATATAATCCTCCATTTTTGTCTTTTGCAAAAAAAAAAATAAATAAATAAAAGTAAAAAAAATAAAAAAATAAAATAATAAATAAATAATTAAATACATAAATGTGAAGCAAAATATCCTTCTTCCATTTCAGCCATGACAAAAACATAAATAAACAGATCTGCCGTTAAAAGTAGAAAAGATAAATATTAGTGAAAAAAAATTACCAAAAGATGTGGAAAATGCATCAGCAATGGCTTGAGGGGAAAACATAAAACTAAGCTAAAACCCTCATCCCCTCCTCTTACCTGCGATATATCCAAGCACGCATTTTACTAAAATGATACCAGGAACAAATATAAGACTTGCATTTCAAATATAATTACAACATCACTTTACAATTATTTCCTTTTGTCAACTTTGACAAGCACTGAAACACAAACTACCAAAATTTTCCCATGATGGTTGTCAAAAGTTGTCAACCCTGGGTACAACCAAATAAAATAAAAAATAAAATATATAAACAATACAATCAAATTAAATTAAAAAACACTTACCCATTCTCATAAGCACCAGGAGTTTTCAACAAATGGAAAGTATCTTCAGTGGTTGACGACCTACAAATAATTGAGAGAAAATAAATAAAAAAATTAATAAATAATTAATATTTCTGAATGCTGGATTTTCAAACTGACATGCTGCTAAGTACATTTTATCTAGTCAAATAATGAGTAAAAATTTTATACAATTTTAGGTTTCAATAGTAAATCTAAGACCCCATTCCCAGAAATTAGATCGATCCAAACTAGATCGAAAGTTAATTACCCCCTTACAGCTTGTAGTAGGCGGGACGGACATTTAAGCCGGATTATCTGACAGTAATCTGGTGAGACTCCCCACGGGGATAGATCGATCTAAAATCTATGGGAATACGCCCTAAATGGGTTACCCCCCCCCCCCCCAAGTGTGCACACCCACACCTTAATGGACTCACAACAAAAAAACAAATTCTTCAATTATGTACACATTCAAAAAGTCAGCAAAAAAATTAAACAAAATATAAAGCATGGGCATCCAAAGCATAGAAATTCCTTATTTATTTATTTATTAAAGTATATATTTTGCTACATGTTATGATTCACCACAGATTTCAACACTAACAGAAATTTAGTTGGTAACTGTCTAACCAATGGTGTCAACCCTTTAGTGATAATGTGGTTACATGTCAGTCTTAATATCTGACAATGGCAATTGGGATTCAGTTAAGTAAATTGAAATCTTTTCTAAATCAAGATCATCCGAGATAGCCAAAAACGAGACCATCAACAATGTATGACATCATCGGTGAATAGAAAATATGTACTAAAACTGCCCCAGGTTTGGCTAACTTTTAAGTGATAAGGAAAGAAAAAAAACTTAGAAATTAATACAGAAAGGAAACAAAAAACATTGTGAACATGTTTTATTGTGTAAATTATAAAAAACTTTAATAAAAACATCCAAAAAAATATCAATCATTCTGTTCTGTCACCTTTTATATGTAACTGCACCATACTCGTATGTTATCATTTTTTTTTTTTTTTCGAACAATGCTGCCAGTTTTTGGGCCAACTCAGATGATTCCAACATTACACAGTTGTAAATCCACACTCTCAAAATAGATGGCATTAAAGCATCTACCAAGACAAGCTAAATGCTGTGCTCAGGTTTTAAACAGTAAGAACTGTAAATGTCAACTACATACCACCACCATAAGCAATTCTGACCTCATGCAAGAGTCCAATTCTTTTTTCCATATTTAAATGATTTGGAAATAAATAAATAAATAAATAAATAAATAAATAAATAAATAAATAAATCGTGAACAGAAAATAATTACATTACTATAAAAATATACTGCTAAAATAAAAATCATAAACAAATAAATGCAGTAAAATATCTGACAGAAAATTAAGTAAAATTTTCTTATCTCAGTTAAAAACTGGCTGATTATTTCTTTTATTAGTTAAAAATAACAAATGCAAACATGAGGTCAGAAACACAATAAATAACACTGTTATCACACCAACCACCCATGCAAAAATATGCAAATAAATAAATAAATAAATAAAATAAATAAATAAAAGAAAAAAGGCACGAAGCAGTGACGTGCATTTGGACAAGGAGGCTAACCTGTCGTGCGCTACCGTATGCGAACCATTCAAGGAATTCATAATGGCATCAATGTCATCTTCGGTGTACGTGTTCTCCTCTCCTTCACTTAAGAAGCAGAAATAAAAGCAAATGCTCTGTCAGCTATGGCTGTTGATAAGTTTTCTAGGAGGTGGGGCATTAGTTTAAGCTTTAATATGGGATCTAAGGCCCCATTCAGAACAGGGGACTAACTAGTCCGAGGGTCAAATATGGCCGACCCACCTGAATCCTTCCTCACGGGATATCTATTTAGTGTCTTTTAGTGGATTAGACGGCATGCTTTATAGTGGGTCGCCATATTTGACCCTCGAACTAATTAGTCCCTTATTCTGAATGGAGCCTCTGGCTCGCATCATATCTATTCATGCAGTTCAAAAGAAGCCTTTTTTTTTTCTTAATCAGGAACGAGACCAGTATGTGATTGAGACTGAGGGGTGGTTTTCTAAAGAATGAATTAATGTAATAATTAATTAAAGAAAATGTTGTCGGAATAAGGATATCCAAGGTAAATGAATTGCACCAATCATAAATTTGGCAAATTATATCCTTCAGATTTAAAACTAGCCATTAAAAAACAACAAACAAGTGTGGCCAAATGATATCCTGACTTTCACATTTACCATATGTTAAAATGATTAACATTTAATACATAGAAATTACTTTCAGTAAACATTCTGTTTACATCTAAGTGCAGCATAAGGCATGCATACTTTATGTAGACTGTAAATCTATGCCGCCTATGTCTATTCATTTTCAATTTTTAAGAAGGGATAACACAATCGCGTTCCGGTTGAGTTTTTGAACTATTTCTACCAAGGTGAAAATAATTGTACAGGTAAAAGGTCTAAATCATAAGTTAAAAAAAAAAATAATAAATAAATAAATTTTATTGGAAACAGTCTCTCATATGAGACAAGCATGCTTGTATGGAAGTTTGAAAATGGCAACATTAACTCCTGCAAAGATTGGGTGGTGATTGTTTATCCCTTCTGAAACTATTCCTCATGCAAATATTGCAAGCTGTAAACAATTGACATGCTATGAGGATAATATAAATGCATTCTAGAAGTATGTAAGAAATATGCATATAAACAGGCAGGACATAATTTTAATATATCACTTTTTTCTTTCCCTTCATCTCCTACCTTTCTGGCTCTGTCTCTTCTTCTTCTTCCGATTCAGATTCCTTCTCATCTTTTTCTGGGTTTGAGGAAACAGATGCAGCTGAAAAGACATATGAAAATTCCAAAACATACTTATATTTCTATTATTATATTAAACTAAAACAAGATTACATTTTGCAATGAAACTAAAGTCAACAATTTAGAAAAACTGACGGTACAAAATTACTTTGTACATTGATTTAAGAAGCAAGAGGCATATGTCCCAGTATGTTTGTTACTGTCATATTGATTTTCAAAACTGGTTTGATATGTTGGAACGACTACAATCAGAGTCAATAATTTCGGAAAAAATATGTTAATTATGTCAGTCTCTCAGACACAGAAATCAATTAACTGCACAAATGCAAGCGAGAGCACAAATATTTCATTTTCCGGGAAATTTCAACATTTTTTCCTTAAAGCACATCCTCCTCTCTGAAACCTTTGAGAACATATTGTCCTGTGAAAATTATTTTTATTTCTAAATTTTCATGATTGAAATTCTTCACTACTAGTGATACAAATATTAGAAACGTAAAATTCAAATGGGCATACATTCGATAATACAGGAAGTAAATTTGTCAATTGTTTTGGAGATGGTGTACTATGGCAGTAAATGGAAACAAGCAGAAATTCCCTGTTATACTAATATATTTTGCCAATGGTCAAACACTCTTTCTACGTCTTTTCAATACACCATCTCTACCTTTCTTCTTCTCTTCCTCAGCTTTGGCTTTCAGTATATTGGACTTCATCTGGTCGGGAGGAATGGACGCTGCGCCACTGACAAACTTCAACTGGTTGTTCCTGAACGTGTTGACGTCCTTGTTCTCTTTCTTCTGCAGCACAGGGGCAGTGCTGTCCAGTCCTTTTAGCCTGGCTGCTGCAGCCTCCGACGCCTCTGTAACAAGGGGGAAAAATAAAGGTCATAACTATGGATTTGTGTTCTGCACAGTGCACGCCATGTTGCATTCATCAAAATTTATATATGCTGTTATCGTACATGTCTGAAATTATGCAACTTATATTCTCTTGCGGACTGATTATGTTAGAAATAGTATGTCATGTGATGTCATGTTCGCAGGTTGTCATAGGATGTCATATGTCCACTGAGTATATGTCTCCAAATATTTATTTAACAATTTTCTCTTGGGGAAGAGCTGCACTCTTGGGGAGTTCTCTAATAGGATTCATTCTAATTACTAGCTGTCGTTCATAATTTAAAGCATCAGTTATAATAATTAAAATGTTTAATTATCAAACATTATCAGTTATCAATTATTTGAATAATGACAAAGATTTGCATTCTTCAAGTCCAGGTTACTTATTATTAACATATCTATTAATTTTTAAAAAACATTTTGATTCACTCATTTCACAAAATATGTAGCACTGGCAATAACCCCAAAATCTCACCAAGGAGTGAAACCGTTTCCTTCTCTTTGGGTGGTGTAGTTTTACTCTGCGTCGCTCCCTGTGAACCTGTAGAAGAGGCAGATTTAGGCCTCTCCTTGGCAGTGGGCGCTTTAATCAAGTTATCCAATCGCTCGATTGGGGAGGAAACGCTCGCTGTGGCACCTGGAGAACCGTTGGGGACTTCGGTCTTTGCCATGGGCGTTGTGGGAGTGGTGGCTGGCGTGGTTTCTCCTCCTTCTGCGTTTGCCCTGTGAATAAAAATATTATTTCTAAAATATAAATAATGTCATGTTTGCAGGATGTCACATGTCCCTGTGAATAATAATATTATTTCTAAAATATAAATAAAGAAATATATACAAACATAAAATATATAAATGAAAAGGGTAATCATAACCTTAGTATTCAATTTTGCCTAGGAATACAAATGATATGCAATAAATATGCTATACTAAATAAAATCCATGTGATATTTTGATTCCATAGAATTTGTATGTTAATTTAAAACTAAATTTCTATTTTCTTTGTTTTCTTTTCCTGGATAGCTAAATATAATATCTTTTATCAGACAAATATGTGTTCACTTGCTAATAAAAAATATCTACAAACATTTACTTTTCATTCATTAAATCTGAGTTCTTAATTCTGTTTGTCAGATCCACAACACCTCGATGTTTTTCCGACTTCATAAAATCTGTTGCAGTGACACAAGGAAAATAAAACTAATTGAAATTAGAAGTCACACCATTTAAGCAAAACATATGTTGCGAACATGTTTAAGACAAATGTCATCTAAGACCCCATTCCCAGAGATTAGATCGCTCCAAACTAGATCGACCTAACTCCCTGGGGGTTCACGCTAAATAGCTGTCAGCCGAGTGGGCACGAAAGTTAATTACCCCCTTATAGCTTGTAGTAGGCAGGACGGACATTTAAGCCAGATTATCTGACAGTAATCTAGTGAGACTTCCTTCAGGGATAGATCGATCTAAAATCTATGGGAATACGCCCTAAGTTAACTACATTAACACCAACAGGTTTTGTTGACTGCTGTAACTTAACTGTCACGCTATCAATATCGTAAATCAACACATACGAATGATAAAATTAGGTTTAAAACTTAATGAGATGATTAACATTGCCATGTGTTACAGATATCTTGTCATGTTCACTGTCAGCTACCTCGTCTTGTTAAAAACAACATCTGGTGCTGTGGTAACATATGTTCTTGTACACAACAAGCTGAGGGGAAAATGGACTTTGAAAACATCCTTAAAAACCCAAGAACCGGAGGATTGGAGCTCTCTACAAGCTACCAGAACACATTTGACAGTTCATATCTCAGCCGTAAACAGTAAATTACAGCTTTCTGTCAATAAACAAAATCTTGTAATCATTGCTAACAGCGTCTGTCCTTATTTCAGGAGAAAAATTCATTTCATGTGAAAATTTAACTGTTTTGTGGCATAGACTTGAAAGGGGGGTGATGGGGGGGGGGGTGAGTTTAAACAAGGTATCTTAGACACATAAATCACTTTTACAGACTGTAACAGCTGAAGTTTTACAATCAAAATTTTATGACAATAAATAATTCATGACATAATTTTGACTCCCGTAAAATGAATCATCCCAAACTAATCACATGTCACTGATTTATGAGACACAGCTTGTAACCCAGACATAAGCAATTTTACCAAACTGAATGATAAAACAAGTGGTCCAGGACAAATTTGACAATTTATATTTTCTTTTCTGCAACAAACATCGAAATATACCTTTTGACAGTAAGCTGTTTGAAAAAACTAAACTTGATACCAAATCATTCAGAAATCAGTCAGAAACCTCAGAAAATTGGGATTTATGAAATGATTTAAAATGTGAAATGAAATGACAACCTTCTTCAATCATGCTTTTCAATCAGGTTAATTGGCCAAATATTTAACTATGTCACATAAATAAAACTTACGCCTCTGCCCTGGCTCCAACTGCAGCCAGCGCCCTCTTTCTGCTTTCCTCGCGTGCTTTCTGCCTCTCTGCTGCTTTTTCTCGCTCTCGTTTTTCAAATGTTGGCCTTCTGGAGAATCGTTTGCTCGGTTTTCGTTCAAACCTCACCGAGCGTCGTGACCTGTTCATTGTCGCTGTTTGGAACTCTGTTCTGCCACTGAAAAAAATGAAGAGCCAGAAATTGAAACCAGAAAAGCACTCAGGGGTGCAAAAACGCCCATCAATGCAACCCAATTCTCACTATTATTAATTACTGGATTACTACCAACATCTCACCAATTCTATGCCTCATTATTATTAATTACTGGATTACTACCAACATCTCACCAATTCTATGCCTCATTATTATTAATTACTGGATTACTACCAACATCTCACCAATTCTATGCCTCATTATTATTAATTACTGGATTACTACCAACATCTCACCAATTCTATGCCTCATTATTATTAATTACTGGATTACTACCAACATCTCACCAATTCTATGCCTCATTATTATTAATTACTGGATTACTACCAACATCTCACCAATTCTATGCCTCATTATTATTAATTACTGGATTACTACCAACATCTCACCAATTCTATGCCTCATTATTATTAATTACTGGATTACTACCAACATCTCACCAATTCTATGCCTCATTATTATTAATTACTGGATTACTACCAACATCTCACCAATTCTATGCCTCATTATTATTAATTACTGGATTACTACCAACATCTCACCAATTCTATGCCTCATTATTATTAATTACTGGATTACTACCAACATCTCACCAATTCTATGCCTCATTATTATTAATTACTGGATTACTACCAACATCTCACCAATTCTATGCCTCATTATTATTAATTACTGGATTACTACCAACATCTCACCAATTCTATGCCTCATTATTATTAATTACTGGATTACTACCAACATCTCACCAATTCTATGCCTCATTATTATTAATTACTGGATTACTACCAACATCTCACCAATTCTATGCCTCATTATTATTAATTACTGGATTACTACCAACATCTCACCAATTCTATGCCTCATTATTATTAATTACTGGATTACTACCAACATCTCACCAATTCTATGTTATCCCTTTTATGACCTATCCTGAAATTTTGTTCAAAATCTATCCACAACTGTTTGAGTTAGGTTGATCACTGACCAAGCAACCAACAAAGGGAAAAATATAACTTCCTTGGTGGAAGTAGTTAATCTTTTTAATTCACTTGCATAAACATGATTACAGAGTATCATAGATTTATCCACGTAAAACTTCCCTAAAAATATGCTAAACATGCTCATCAACAAATGATAAGAACAACAATCACATTTTAAACAAACTGTACACTAACTTTAATCACAAAACTGGACAGTTTAATTTTCAGCATTATAATCAGACGAGATTTAAAGTGAAATTTCGGATAACTGAAATAGGTGAAATAAGACATTCTCTGCATTATAGCCAATGCTGAAAGCGGAATTTGGATAACTAAAGTAAGTGATGGCATAAGAGAGAGAGAGAGAGAGAGAGAGAGAGAGAGAGAGGGGGGGATGGAAAGAGAGAGATCCCATCCTGAAAAAACTTTTTCAGCCCATTGGCTGTTTGACAGAACATTGGCGAAAGAATGCATGATGCTCCACCATGCATGTGCGTGCAAGAGAGAGAGAGAGAGAGATTTTTTCCCCAGTACCTATATCTAAATCTGGATCCCATCCTGAAAAAGCTCTGTCGGCCCGTTGGCTGTTTGACAGCACGTAGGCGAAAGAATGCATGATGCTCCACTGCACATTTCCAAAGGTGCTTGCACGCTTTGTGATGAAGCAAACGAAAGACGAATGTGTGCTCTTGTTCCTTGCCCTGATAAAATAAATATAAATAAATAAATAAAAATTAATCGATTTTGGTGAAATTTAAATATAATCTTATTCATGCCTTCATTTAATTTTAATGATTTTTTTTCTGTTTTGTTCCACAATTAAAAAAAAAATTAATGAACTACAAGTTTCCCTTAATATTTATAATGACATTATTCAATGAGGCAAATCGTATCAGCCTCAAGAAATGTTTCCCATTCATGCTTTCTCTCTACTTTGGTATTAGCTTAGATTTTTCTTTCTTCCATATTCAAACTCTGTTCACAAAATTTTATAACATATAATTATCTAACGCCTACCTCATCGTCATCTTCAACAACCACCAAGGTGAGTTTCTTCTTTTTGAAATCAAGCTTGGTGATTTTGGGCCTGTAATGAAAAATTTTTAATTATTTCATACATATAAGAAGCCTGTCATACAAAGTGTACACTATTTGAACTAAAAAAAAATTCTTGAAATGGAATAAATTCACCTAAATTCAACAGTTTGTATTATTTATTTCTTTAAAAACAATCATGACAGTTATCACTATTTAAAGGAATCAGCTTTCATGAAAAAAAAAACTTCATAAACATTTTTCTTTAGTAAAAGATTGTCAAAATTGTAAGTATTCTAATTCAGTGCTACTCACCAGAAAAAGAGCCCAATTTTTTGTGATCCCTCAAAAACTAAAATCCCTGTAGGTGTCAGGCCAAGCGTATACTCCATTCCATCTTTACCCTGGGAACACAATGCATAGAATTGTCACATTTTGGCAATGACACAGGACAAATAGGATAAATATCTTCACTGTGAAATTCTCAAGGATTATCATCAGTCAAATGAAGCAACTTAGCTGGAATAACTATCCAACATTATTATCATTTTTTTTTTTAATTTATTAGTTATAACTATCTGAAGAACAAACAAATGGGTCTATTTTGCAAACTGAGGCCATTTTTGCCACAGATTTTATTAGGTCTAAATCATAAATTTGTTTCAATACTATTATATTATATTATATTACATTACATTACATTACATTTTACTTTATATTACAATACATTATATTAGAACTTTTTTAAGTTAAAAAATTAGCACACAGGTATATAATACACATGGTCTTGACTTTCAGCCCTTATAACTCACCAGTACTGTATGCATATCCACACCGTACATTTCCAGCCACTTGACTTTGTTTAAAAAGTTCAACTCAGCTTGGGCAGGAGTTTGGCCTCTGATTAAAAAAAATCATTAAAGTTAATCATTTTTTTCAATTCAACTATTCAAATACTTTTAAAAAGATGTTTTTTATTGCAGGCTCTCCCACATGTGTTCAACAGATGAATTTTCTCTTGTAGCCCTTGACTGTGGTAACTGATGTTGGATTTTAGCCCAATATTTTTAATGTGAATTAAATAACTAAAGCACATTACTCCTCACTTTTTTACTTATTCATTTTTTTTTTATTTTTGCAGCAAGACTATAAATCTAATATTTGTACTAGTTGTAATGCCATTTGTATTGTCAGAGTGTGTGTATGTGTGTGTGCGTGTGTGTGCATATATGCTTGAGGAGCATGAAGACATGCAGTTGCATTTGTGGCTTCTTGTGTATATTGGAATCAAGTCATTACAAAACATCACATCTTACTTGCAAGTCTTATACATTTCTACTATTTCCATCTCCATCTCTTCCGTCTGATTTTCCACGAAGCGGAATTCAGAGATGAACCCTGGTGTGTGTTCTTCTTCATCGAAATCACCCAACTCAGCTGTAAAGAAACCGAATAAATTAAAATATGATTTACATCTAATATATGTATTTTATTGAAACCAGTGCCATAATGCAGAAAAGTAATATAGATAAAATTCACACTCACATCAAAACCACTTCATTTTTGTGGTGTGTGTGTGTGTGTGTGAGAGAGAGAGAGAGAGAGAGAAGGTTAAACCTCTACCATACAGAAATAACATATCCTGTCCTATCTTTGAAGCATCAATATCAAAACACCCAAACAACAATCATTTTACTCCACCAGTTCCAATGTTCTTGATATCTGTAAATCAGAGATTAGACCAACAGTTGGCCTTCAATGGGGAATAATTTGGGTTATTCAGAAAATGCATTTTTTTCCTTTTTGGTTCCAATCAATTCAATAATCTCTTTCCTGCCCTGCACTTGATGAGTGAACATCAAAGTCCTATTCTACCATCAGACTTGAAACACATACATAAACTATTTGGTGTGCAAATGCATTTTCGCTTGTTTTCCTGTGTTGTCTTTTTAATAAATACATCAAACTTTTGATCTTCTGACAAGCCGCCACCTTTGGTATTCCCCCTAACACATGAGGGCTGCTTCCTTTTCAGGACGCACAGAGAGCAAGAAGAACTTTAACAAAAAGTATCATTGACAATGCCATGTTCACAAAGGAATGGAAAAAAAAATCAGGCTTTCTATTAACCAAAAGAATCTCTCACCAGATAGCCACATGCAATTTTGGTCAATTAGTCTGAAGTTTAATTGAATCTCGATGTGAACAGGACTTATTTCTGGGATTGGCAGTATGTGAGGTAACTGGGAGATATATGGCAGTAAATTACAAACATTTTTCTTACATTCCAGTTAATCTTTTTTTGTTTAATCGATATATATTAATCAATACAACACCAGTCAACTAATCCAGTGATNTTTCTATAAACCAAAAGAATCTCTCACCAGATAGCCACATGCGATTTTGGTCAATTAGTATGAAGTTTAATTGAATCTCAATGTGAACAGGACTTATTTCTGGGATTGGCAGTATGTGAAGTAACTGGGAGATATATGGCAGTAAATTACAAACACCATATTTTTCTTACATTCCACTTAATCATTTTTTGTTAAATCGATATATATTAATCAATACAACACCAGTCAACTAATCCAGTGATTAGGAGAAACTTGTTTTTTCCCTTTCCTTTTTTTTTCTACTTCCCATGGGAACATAAAATTTGTCAAGAAAACCCAGTTAAAGAAAATTAATCATTCTGGGAAGGAATGGTTATGAGAAAAGTCAGGGATGAAGGATACAGATTATTTAGAGGAACAAAACAGCAGTTACAAAACTACCACATTTTTTAAGAAAAAAAAACTTTTTCTTCAATGCAACACTCCTCACGTCCCAGCGTAAATAAACACAGATGGCAGAGACAAGAATTATATCAAACATGTGCACTCTTTCTTCACAATTCATCCAGAATCCTGACACTACACAAATGTCTTGACAAGCAAGGGAGTGTTGATTGCTTTACATCACGCAGTGACCACTGTGGAAGGTACTGGTGGACATTTTAGGAAAATATGTCAGTAAAGTCCATTATATAAGGAGATAATTTGATGACAATGGCAAAATGGCTGACAGTGTATCTCTCCAAAAAAAAAAAGGTCATTCAAAGTATCAATATTTTCATTTCAGCAGAATCAGGGATGGAAAGGGGTCAGGGGAAAAATGTAAACTCGTTTTCCAGCTGTTTAAGGGTATGGGAAGCCTGTGTCTTAGGAGGGAAATGAACCAAAATGTCAATATTTATAGGGACTGTGATGGCGCAATATCCCTGCTGGATACAGTGATACTTCACTGATGATTTATGACCAGATTTTGTTGATACAAGAAGAAAAATAATGCCAGTTACCCATTAACCCCCCCCCCCCCCCTTTTGCCTGCAGAAAGGAAAGAATAAAAGATGGACATTAAAATGCTATGTTTCACACTATGGACCACTATAGATTTATCTGAAAATTGAAACAGTAGCAGACTTAAAATTTAGCCTAAAATTTTAGCCTATTTTTCAGTGCAGATCATTTTGTAAAAAAAAAAAATACTTGAGGATAATCAAACTATAACACAGTCCTGGGCATTTCCGACCCCGACCCAGCGTCTCTTCATTTAAAACTCAAATTTGGTGTAAAACTGACCACAGTCCCTTGTTTTCTGGACCCACCCTCCTGGCCGCAAAGAAAACACACAAATTACAATTCCACATTGGGCACATGTGTCAAAATAAAACACACAGCAACTGGCAGACATTAGTTTTTGTTTTCTCACCATGGGGAAAGGGGGACAACATTCAGCAGTCCCGTCTGGCATTTGGGCCAATTTTACAAAACTCTTTCAAAAAATTACTGACGACCAACAGTTTTTCTTTTTCTTATATGCTAATATCTGATAAACTATAAGATAATTCAGTAGATCACATTGAGAAAATTGTGTCCTTCTTAAAAAAATATGCTTTAATGCTGTCCGATAACCCTGTGAATGCTACTTTGGGAAGAATATCCCTCTTTCAGTCATGTCCATGTCAACTCTCCTATATTTTCCACATTTAAAAAAATCTCAATCTACTTCAACTTCAATTCCCTAAACTCCTCTTTTCTACATAATAGGGTAAAATTTCCCAATAAAGGGACACGTTCACCAACCCTGTCATGAGTTTCTGATGACGAAGATGATGATGATGATGGCACTGATACTGATAAAGAAAGGAAGCTGCTTGACTTGTCTTTGAACACATTAGCTACACTGAGTCAATTGATCCACTGACCAACTTGAATGCTTGCTGTGTAATCCCTGCTGGGAATCTTTGGGATAGCACTAGAATTTTTTTTTTTTTTTTTTTTTTTTTTTTTGCTTAGCCAAATCACCACTCTTTTTTTCAATTTGTTATCCAAATGGTTATAATTTGACCAAAACAAGTCAAATCAAGCTCTTTTTGTTTAGCCAATTTATGTCAGTTTTAGCATTTGGCGAAATTGGCGAGTGTTAGCGCTACCCCAGAATCTATTCAGCGCGGCTATTGTGGGATTATTTGGCAAGTTTTCATCATATTTGATCCCCGGATCTGTTAGTCTGCTGTTGTGAATGCGACCTTTTACTATAATATACTTACACTGTAGTGCGTATGCTGCTAGTTCTATCACGGTCTCGTATGGACATTCCAGCCTCCCATTTAGAAGATCTAGCTTCAACTGAAGGAAAAACTGATACCTAAAAAATTACAGATAAGAAAGAAAGAAATCATGGGTTTGTAATAATTTTCTACTTGATGTTATCATTTGTACTACATGGGATGTTAAACACATGGCCTAGGAATAAGGGTGCCAATAGGTCATTAATTTCTTGGCAATTTTCAGAGTGTTTAAAAAATTACAATTAATTAACAAGTCATCATATTATTACTGAAGAGGAAATATTTGGACAATATTATTCAAAACACAGAACTCCAATTCCCAAAAGTAATTGTACTAAAGACATAGCATATTCAGAGCTTGGTAAATGTACCCAGGCAAAAACTAGAACTACTTCAATTTCAGTTTACATTTTTAAGGCTTTGGTTCCATTAAACGCTTTACCAGACTCCACTTTTAACCAGCCGAAGCTGCTCCAATTCTGCACTGGGTATAACATTATCGAGTGCCTAGAAACTTCAATGTTTATTGTGGGAAAGAATCGAATGTGATAAGCCAGCAGCATAGATATAAGCCTTTCTGGGACCTTTAAGCAGATTTGCTTTTACAAGACGTTTTTAAATATTCAGAGAGCTGCCTTTTTGTTGACAGACAGGCCTCGTAAATAAAAATGTCATTTGCAATTATGTTGTGATATGCCCCCCCCCCCCCTCTTTCCTCCATTCTAACTTACCTTGTGAGTTCTTCATGTAAATTATTTGGTTCTGATGAGTAAAATTTCACTCGTAACCGGAGTGTGTAGGGTGGCCCAACTGAAATTATACAAAAACAAAAAATAAAATTACTTACAGCTGTTACAATATTATAAACAACTGTATTGATTCAATATCTCCTTTTATATTTAGCCTTATCGCTTATAGATAAAAAAAGAGAAAATTATGTCCTGAGCCTATTTAATATTCACCATCTTTCTTAAATATTGCTGACAACTGTCCCTACCCCTAAAATAAAACATCTCCTAGAATAAAACACAAATTTTTTTCCTTAGCATGCAAAGGACAATAAAGCCAGAAAAAAACACTTCTCAAGTTGCACAATTTTCTTCTTGCAAAGGTGAAGTGCTCTCCCTTATCTCTCCTTGTTACCTGGAGAGACTTTTATTCCTAGGAATAGAACATTTCCTGGAGTGAGGTAAAGAGGATGTTATCAGAAGCACTTCACCACTGGAGCTGACATAAGTAGTACACTTTCCTGGCTAATTGGCTGCTAGGTATTTGCAGTAGGAAAAATGTGCAGTGTATTTCACTGACACTAGAATTCACCAGTTAATGGAGGGAGGAAGAGAGGGAGGGATGGAAGGGAGAGAGAGAGAGAGAAAGAGAGAGAGAGAGTGTGAGTGTGTGTGTGTGTGTGTGTGTGTGAGAGAGAGAGAGAGAGAGAGAGAGAGAATGCGTGTGTGCACCTACATGAGTGTTAGTATGCCAGGTGGTAGGTGTTAAGGTCTATAGGTTTTGAAAAAATGTTATGAGCATCTTGCAGTTTCTTTTTGTCAGCAAAAGAGGAAGTATAATTGTTATTTAATGAGACAGTGAGAAAAAAACAGATACTGAAACAATGCAAAATAACAAGATTCCCTGACTTTTGTCTCAACAGTGTGAGGATAATCAAAAAGAAACAGAAAATAAAAACAGAAAGAATGGGTTCACATGAACATATCACCCCATTTCCATAGATTAGATCGACCTAACTCCCTGGGGGTTCACACTAAATAGCTGTCAGCCGGGCGGACACGAAAGTTAATTACCCTCTTACAGCTTGTAGTAGGCGGGACGGACATTTAAGTCGGATTATCTGAAAGTAATCTAGTGAGACTCCCCACGGGGATAGATCGATCTAAAATCTATGGGAATAGAGCCTAACACAACATAAAGATTTTGAAAAATTGTAGAGTTCTAAACAGAAAACAAAAACAGGAAGAAATAATATGTCACAATGTAAAGATTCTGAAAAAGGTAAAGAAACAGAAAACAAAAAAAGAAAAAGTTGAAATGAAAAAAACTGTGATTTCCAGGTAAAGCTTATTTGCATATTAGCACACACATTAGCACACGCACACATAAGAAAAAAACAAGGCAGCANGTTTTCCACTTATCGTGTTATCGGTAAAAGTGCACGGCGACGGCGACGACAGACGCAGATGACGGCTATATGTACAGACACATCTGTGTCTGTACATAAAAAGCATACAGAGACATCTTGTTTTGCTCTTCTCCAAGAAAAAACATGAACACCTCCCAAATAGCATGCTTATTTGCAGAGACCTGGGAATTCTCTGAATTAGTTCCAAAGCCCAGGAGTTAACACAGCCCATATTATACTGCTCCAAGACAGGAAAGATGATAGTGATTATAATGGAGTCTTAAAATGCTCAAAATAATCAGTGTGCACCCTGAGAGTCCAGGCTTTACTGATTACAAATTTATCACTTGTACACTAAATCATGGTAAAAAAAATACCTACTCGAATCCACCCACTTATGATTTTTTTTTTTAAATTAACATCCTCAGGTGTCTCAAAAGATGGTCTAAGACATACAATTGACTAATATTGTACTATACTTTATCTCTTTCTATAGTGACCATTCAGATATAAAAATATTACTTCTACACTATGACACCCTGGATGGTGACCCTCCCTGCTTGATGCACAGGGTACTAGTAACTAATGTTCATCCATGCTTCCTATGCATACCGGCTTTCAAATCCCCTTTAAACTGGACAGGGTCCTTTCTGGATCCTTTGTGCGACCATGAAGCTGGCATCGCTGTCATCTTAGCAAGTTGGCACAAGCATCGCTTCTGTTGCAAAATGAATGCTCAGTGATCGGCCAATTGTTGGCACATTTCTTTTTTAACTCTCAAGCGGGCCCTTACTAAGGCATGTAGAAAGGACACTGTCCAGTGCAAAGTGGGCTTAACATATCACTTATTACTCAATGATACACAGGGTGACGGCCCTCCTCGCACACTTCAGTGCCCAAAACTACATGACCTGTTCAGACATTACATATATCTCCACCTCACCAGTGACACAACAGGAAAGTATGCAACACATCCAAACTGCAAATGTCAAGTATTTTTCCAGATGATCCTCCCAGAGCATGAAGATGTTTTCAAACATGCACCTTTTTTTTAATGTGTCCATGGAAGACAGTAATGCAATGCAACGGCACGAAATAAGATTATATTTCACCTCAAGAAAATAAAATTACATAGTTTATAGTCAAGCTTCTATTTCTGGTTTCATCAACATTGTAGTTCCAAAACGAAGCCACGTAATAAGAACTAGTACACAATCACATACGTATATTATCTCAAACTTCTTTATGATATTATTTTCAAGAACCATTTGGACGACAGATTTGCCAGTATTTTGCGCATTACAGGGAATATTTAGCTTACAGGGTTATTTAGTCTGCTAGAATTCCCTAGGAAATAAAAACTGAAGCTGTTTCTAGGCAAAGAAGTCTTTGGAATGTGGCACGTTGTCCACCTCCAATTATCAGCCTCATTTTGGACATTCAGTAACAAATTTTCATTCATTCAGAAAGAGGCTTCTGCTAGGAGAAGAAGGAATGCACAAAACTGCTGAAGGTTTAAATGCAGTATGTTTTCTCTGGGTGGAGTCTTCAGATAGGAAAGGTAATGGGGAAAATCAGACTTTGCTTAAGATTAGTCAATGTATTTTTCACTTGTGGGTTTTACGATAACATTATTATCTGCTTAGCAATGGACGTCATTTCCACCCACGATAACAAATGGTCCGAAATAAGTGTAGGCTAAAAATACTTTCCATTGGGCCTTGCTCATGAAGGGAAAAAACTCTTAGGAATATTAATGGCATCAATAAAGACATTCTTTTTAGATCTAAAAAACACTCCTCCCTTATTCCCACATATAAATAAGAGGGGAGTTGCTATACATATATTTGTAATGCTCATGTTTCTCAGTTTCAAAACACAGAAATGACAAATAACATACTTAAGTGTGCCAACTACATTAACTGTGGGCCATTAATTCATAAAATGATCTTAGAGTTACAGTGTGAAGTAACGCCGTTTGAAAGAAAAGTCAATATTTATTTGCTTTTTTTCTTCATAATATATTCAGTTATCACTTTTTGTCCATATTTTTATTTATCAGTTCATTTGTTTATTTACTTCTTATAATATACTTTATTCATTTATTTAACTTATCCATTTCTTCATATTTATTTATTTTATTTACATTTATTTTATTTACATGCATTGCATGATAAAGACCACATGACCCTGGTTTAAATGAGACTGCCATTTATATATGCCCAGGCACACAAGATCCATGGAAGCAGCTCCTCCCTTAAACCCCCCCCCCCTCCCCCTTTTCTATTCACTCATCTCCCCCTTTTCTTTTCACTCATCTCAAAATGTTATTTTTCTACGGCTTACTCTATCCCAGCAACCCTAGTCTGGAAGAGATGTGGCTGAATATTTGTTTATTCTGGGCTACCAAGTTCCTGATTTACGTTAGTTTAACCTATTCAGACACAGCTTCTGCTTGCCAAATCCCATCTGGAAATGCTAGTACCTCTGACAGTTGGGTGTCTCTTTTGGCTGAAGAGTTGATGATTTACTCGTGTTAGTCTCGCTTTAAAAAAGAACTTTACCAGATAAATTGCCAATTATTTTCTTTTTCTAAGGCCAAAATAATTTATTTTACAATCATGGCATAAATAAACCAATAATTATTTGTTTTCTAGCCCCAGAGGTAACCATCTTGAACATTTTGTTTAAAAAAAAAGGGAGGGGGAGGCAGAGGGGGGAACACCTACTGAGTAAAACTTAAAAGTTGACAAACCTGCTATTTTTACTGTACACTACTAATATATTCTAAAGTAACACAACAATACATGTGCTGCATTAACTAATTATTATATTATTTAGCAAATACTTATATCTAATAAAGTTCTGTTAATGTCAGAATATATATATAATAGATTTAAAAGACACCCTCCTTTGGTTGATATATATCTGTTCTCTGAGGTGTCCAAAAGGACATATTTACCTCTTCTAAAATCTATCATTATGTACTTAAATTACCATGATTTGCACATATACAAAGAAACACCAGTCTAAAAGTGTCAGAAATTGGCTGCTTTACCACATGCTGCGGCTGGTCTTCATTTCTGCAATAAAGATGCAGAATCATATTTGTGTACAGATCCAAACCAAGCTGCCATTCCAGCTGCAAAAACATGCACCTCATCTCTGCCCTATTTATCATGAAAAGTTTAGTATTATACTATATATCAAAATGTTGTGTACACTTACTTTGGACTTGTTTCTTTATACTTTTTGTTGGGTCTAACCAATGCTGAAAAAAACAAACAAACAGAAAAATAAAGTCTTTAATAATGAAAACATCAACACAACATCAATATATGGCATTTAAGACAAAATTAAAACAGAGTAGCTTAATGAAGATTTTTTTTTCTACTGATTAATTGCCAAATGGGCTACTAGTAATTGTTAATTTAAATGCTAACTGGTACATCTATTTACAAACTGATGAACAGAATTACCTATTACTGTCCATGGGCAAAAACAAATTAGATGACCCAATACTGCTTAATTTTAACCTTAGAAGAATTCATATAGGACCCAAATGGCCCCCTGTTTATGTCATATATTCTTAACAGATGTAACTAGTTATACTGGAAATGAACCGTACCTTAGAGGCCAAGGAAATATTTGATCTTTAAATTCAAGAATTATTGTGTGGAACTTTTTTCAAAAGAGATGCCTTGTGGTAAACTGTTATATACCATCTTGCTGCAGGCCAAATTGACCCTTAAGTTTCAGGTCAATTGACGTTTTTTCCCTATTTTCTTGGAGTTGTTTTTCATATATGTACGGTTCCTGTATTTGTTAATGTGCGTACATGTACACCCATGCAAATCAAATAAGTCACCCGCATGTAAATGTATAAGAGCATTTTCTGGCATAAAGCAAGCTTGTATGCTAGTGCATGTGGATGCATGCACGCTTGTGCTGTACGCATGAGACAGATTTTATGACTCAACAAGTCACAGTGTACAGGGACCCCCATGGTTTTGGAATTTTTGGTACTGGTACTTGCACAGTTCTTACAATGGTTTTAGTACTTGTACTTGCACAGTATAAATTTTCAAATATGAATGTTCTAAAAAAAAAATATTTTCATACAAATCTGTCCTGACAGATGCCAATGCACATGGGTCACTGCTTTGAAACAGAAGCAAAGAAAAAAGTGAGTCAGCCACATTCAAAGGTTGGGGCGGTAATATGAGAATGTATTTCCTCAGAAACCACTCAATCTTCAATCAAACTCTGGAGTTAAATGCCTGAATAATTGGAGCCACTCTCTGATAGTTGCCACATGTATGTGCTTTAACCGCAAGCAACCTCAGGACAAAGTGTGTGTTTGTGTGTGTGATTGTGTGTATGCATGTGTGTGTGTCAATTTGCACATCTCTCTCTCTCTCTCTCTCTCACACACACACACACACACACACACACACTCTCTCTCTCTCTCTCTCCCCTTCCGTCCCTCCCTCTCGTCCTCCCCTGCAAGTGTGTGTGTGTGTGTGTGTATGTGTGTGTCTGTATGTTTGCTTTATGTGCATCTGCAAGTAGCAGACAATGGATGTAAGGAAATCATATTCTTTAGAAGTGTGTCCTTCAAATCAATCACACTATAACTGCAAGAAGCAACAGAGGGGAGTCTACTATCAGTCCATCCTCCAGCAATGGCCATGATAACAAGATGAGCAATATGAATGACCGATGAAGTGACCTTTTGACTTCGTACATTCTCCTGCTATTTTTTCCACATGCCAGACAACATGCTACTCCAGCAGGTTAAATTATGATCAGAAGTGAAAAAGTCCTGAAAATACCATGTGGGGTCCAGGGGGAGGGGGAGGGGGGGGAGAGGGGGGGAGGCTGTACTGGCTTACCTATTAGGTAATTCATTGGCAAAAATTTATGATTGTGGATCTCTCCCCCTATCTCTCTCTCTCTCTCTGCCTTTAACTAAGTAGATCACTTTCCAAATTGGAAAAAAAATATGCATGTGCATGTGAAACTATGAGTGTGTATGTGCACAAACAGATATCATTCCTTCCCTTTCTTTCTGTTAATTCATAGAAAGACTATCTAATAAATCTTCCTCTTTTCTCTTAAGAGGTGGGAAAAGGGATCCGAAGTGATGTGTATACTACACTCTGATATTCTCACAGAGAGAGAGCTAGCACTGGTGGTTAAAACAGATGGTTACAGAATGTATGTGGTAAACGGAAGTTATTTTGAGTCGATCGTGTTTCATATTGGTCTGCACCATGTTTTGTTGGGTGTCTGGAATGCTTTGTAACCACAGCAAGGCCAGTAAAAAAAACTAACAACTGGGCAAAGGTTTAATGTCAAATTTTGAAGTGTAGAGTTATTAATCTTTATGGTATGAAATTTTGACCCACTTTGTTTTACTGCTTGTCTGTTGCTGTCTTTGTCTGAGGTCTTATTTTTTCAATTTTTGCAATATTTTAAGTGTATTTTGCACTGTTCCACTTATCCTCCCTCCCAGTCTCTCTCTCCCTTTTTCTCTCTCCCTTCTCTCTCTCTGGGCCAATCTCTCTCTCTCTCTCTCTCTCTCTCTCTCTCTCTCTCACTCTCTCACACACACACACAAATTGTGCAGGTTTTTTGAAAAGACAAATTGCTTACGTTTTATACCAACATTACTTAACTAACAATGGACTACTTCTGATTTATCATGGATCAAAACCAACATTTCCATCCCAAAGTTTTAAGTGTTAAAACACCAGGTATTTGGAGTCAAAGGTGTTTTTATCAAAACAGGCCCAAGAGTTGTCCTGAAGTTCAGGCCGTCCTTTCAGGAAACTGGCCCTCAATAATTTGACCTCTGCGGAAGCAACTGTCTGTATTCACTGTTGAAAACCCCATGTGTAACATATGTCACCAGTTATGGTAATTATTAACAAATTTCAGGCAGTTCCGATATATATATATATAGTTTTTCTTTTCTTTTTCTTTTTTTTTTTTTTTGGAAGGGGGAGGGCATGTATAACCTTTGTCTTCTATCTTCTTTTAAAAAATTACAAATGCAATATTGTACGAGAAATAAAATTGATCAATTTCCTTCAATTGTAGTGAGTTTCTGCAGTAATACTTACATTTATTCCAGCCGCGTCTGAATATTGCAGACCGAAGTAGTCTTTTTCTATCAGATCTAAATTGTAGTAAACACGTTCTAAAAGTTCTTGGCCTAAGGCTTTTTTCTGAAAGGACGAAGAGAAACTTCATTATTGCATATGTTTAAAATGTTAATACTTTTTTGTGATACACTGATGACAAAAAAAAAAATTAAATTAAATTAAAAAAAACATGCTGGCTATCTACAATTAAAATAAAATTTATACAATCATTGAACCTAAACATAACAATTATTCTTGCAATATTTCTTTTTTTCCGTGGTCTTCATTTTGTATGGTACCATTTATAGGTCAAGGAGATCAAAAGAGTGACAGCTTGTTTAAACCTGTTTTAGGATGAGCATGATAGCATGAACATTTTTGTAACCCAACAAGTAATATATATATATATATATATATATATAATATCAATAGAAAGCTCCTAAATTTCCAAAACTTTGCAATTCAAACAATAATTTTAGCATGCTATATAGAAAGATAGGGTGATTTCAACACCATAAATAATTCTACTTAAAGGACAAGCGAATGCCTGAGATACAATCTGGGGTAGTGCTGGCAATTTTTTTTTTTTTTTTTTTTTTTTTTTTTTTTTTTTTTTTTTTTTTTTTTTTTTCCCTTTTTTTTTTTTTTTTTTTTTGCTCTTAGCCAAATTACTACTTTTCATTACTTTCTTCTCCAAATGGTTTAAATTTGACTAAAACAAGTCAAATCAACCATTTTTTTTGTTCAGCCAACTTAGGTCAATTCTAGCATATGGCTAAATTGGAGGGTGTTAGCGCTGCCCCAGCTAATACCGATAAGGAAAAATGGATGTTTGAGATACTAATCACTGGGTTTGCATGTATGACATCCACCCCGAAGCAAACCAACCAACAACTGAGTTAACCACCAAAAATGACACAGACAGTTGTAAAAGAACCATTTTAACACTCAATGCCAATTTGATATTCAATTTTCTAGCCATTCATCTATCATTAAGATGGAGAGAGGTAAAGGAAAGGCTGGGGGCAGGACAGTCTGCAGGACCATTAATGGTGAGAATACAGCCATTAAATGTACCATAAATGACACGGACCACAACAAATCACTCTGAATGGGGAGAGATGCATGAATATCTGTTTTAATATCTTGTGGGGCTAGCTATCTGCCCTCTCTTTCTCTCTCTCTCTCTCTGTGTGTGTGTGTGTGTGTGTGTGTGTTAGCTTAAAGACATGGCATCATACTAGAATTTTCTTGAAGATAAATTTGAATTTTTTATGGATTACCATACAGTCATTGCCATTGGGTCATTGTAATTACTATCAAGTAACATTTAGAATTATATTACAGTAATTACATTTCACAGTTCAAGATTATACAAATTTATAAAATTTGGTGTTGTTGTTTAAGGCAGTATCTTCATCGTAGAGAAAAAAAGGGCCACAGTAAAGATATGTTACGATACCACTTCAAAGAGAACCCTGCCCTTACATAGTGAGGAAGGAAACATGCCCTTTATTTTAGGTCATCTCGGTCCACTATTTCCTATACAGGGTCATTGAGGAAGTGGTCAGACTTTTTATTTCCTGAGGTGATTGAAAAATATACACACAACAGTGTGATGGATACATGTATTTGTGGGCAATAAGTGAACATTATTTATCATGTTTGTAACATGTTTGTGTCACACTACAATGGATGTTGCAAAGGAGAAGCCACATTTACACTGAAGATACGACTACATTTCTCTACAGGTTGTCAGATAGAGCTAGGTTGTCCTGCATGTTGTCATATCAATTAACCAACGCTACCCTCTATCACCGTGGCAGATATTACAGGCACATTTTCCACCAGCCACAATTAGAAGACTGACTATATTTAACCGAAGACATTATCTGAGAATATCTAGCGAAAAATTAATTTGTAGACCTGTTAGAAGGTAGACGAATGCCATGAACACACATATGGACATAAGTAGACATGTGCACTATAGAGAATACAGGTTGAACATTCCCTGATATCTAGCTTCAATTAAATGAATAGCTGAGACAGGAGCCCACCTATCTCTCGTGTAAACATGTTTCAAGACTGTTACAGTTTAATTGCACCAAATCACCAGTACATTTCAAATGTACTGTATTTATATAAACAGATCAATTTAATAAAAACCACGTCAATTTCATGTGTCAATTTCACAAGGTATCATACACTGTAAAGATGGCTACTAGTAATTAGGTCAGACTCAACCAACGAGGAAATTATCGAACATTTGACAACCACCTGCCGCATAATTTATGCCAAATTAATACCTCGTGCTTCGACAAGCACACAGATTTATTGAGAGCGAGATCAATATAGGTGCAACTTTTCATGCATGTGATTATTACCAGTTTCAATTTGAAAGAGGGTAAGTCAATACAGTCCTGGCTTTCGAACTTGATTACAGTGTTTCAGTTCGAGAGTTGGTGAGTCAGCCTATTTTTCACATGCGTAGAACTAAATGATGTGCAACACCAAATTAATAACTTATATTTTCTTGTCTACAATTGCTGTTCTTTCAAAATGCCATTTCCATCACTGTCATTAGCTGTCAAACAGACATTAATTTTTAATCATACCAATACAACTTAATACTCTATTGCTGAACTTTCAAAAACTTTCTTCCACGAAAAATAAACTAAAATTCAAACAAAATACAAAGGTGATACTTTTCAAAAAATACCCACCAATGGGCTCACTTCCAACACTTAAACAAGGCTTTTCATTTTACGCCTTATTTGCCATTTTGCCAATTAAAAGCCCTAGAGGTCCGGCCACCTGAAGCTTGAAATGCCTGCCAAAAACACTTGAACAAAGGTGTTTATTTAGACGCACTGTACAAGTTTTGAAGCTAAAACCAGTGACTCACTCTTTTCGGGTACACATTTCAATTAATGTTGATAAACATTTCTGAAAGGTTTCTTTTTCGGGTTTGGGATGGGCAATTAAGTCCCTAAATGCCCTATAAGGGTGGCCAAATTTGTGATGGTCAGTGTCAATGACCAGTGGTCAGGGGAATGTCTCTTTACTGTAAACTGGAATGTTAATGATGGGTCAAGATGTGGTATGACTAACCCCCCTATCCCCCCCCCCCCGCCCCATCAAGAAATATAGTTGTATATTGTAATACCATCAAAATCAAGTGTTAAAGCCACATGTGATGATGTAGTATCAATAAATGTGGGCAAAATTACAATTTCCCCACATACAAGTCAACACAAGTTCTTACAAGTGGTATAATTATATCTTCAAAAAATATCTGATAGTACCTTAAATCAGTAATCTTATAAGCAATTCTAAGCATATTTCCAATGAGCAGCTTTGAGCCAAACAAACTCAAAACAGTTCCAGTCTTGATTACTAAACGTGTTTCCCTTTGATCATCAATAAAATCTGTTGATTGAAAACCCCTCAGGGGCCCCATCACTCATTCACCTGTCTGTTACAACACATGGGCACTGGAAGCTCTGCTGGGGGTCTGCTGACATCAAAAGAGGCACTTCCAGGTGATCAGAGATAGCAATCATTGCTGGTCAGGAACAGCTGTGTGGGGATCAGGATATTAAACATGGACGCCCACTGAGATAGCAATTTCATGGAAATATTATGAATCCCTATCCCAGATCACTTTTGAAGCTTTGATTTGGAATTTGAAATATTCACCAATGGGTTATCAAAGGGAATGGTGTGTGTGTGTGCGCGCGTGTTGAGGGGGGGGGGGGGGGGGGGGGGGTCAAGGGCACTTTCATAGTCCCAGTAATTTAATTAGCCCTAACAATTTTTTCACTCAGCCAAATCACCACTTTTTTGTCAATTTGTTATTCAAGTGGTTGAAAGTTAAGTCAGTTTTAGCATTTGGCTAAAATGTTGAGTGTTCGCACTACCCCAGCCTGCTATATAATATGATGCAATATATGGTAAAAGTAAGACAATTAATCTTCAAATTATATGGCATGCGGTTTACTTTGGCATGATGTTATCACATTGTTACATAACAAGGTGCAATGGTACTCTCTGTATATCAATTAACAGTTGTATATTGTGTAACTTCTGATGTAATGTTGACACATATGTAAAATATGTCACACCTGTTGCCGTGTCTTAATCTTGTTATCAATCTACATCAGTGTCTAGACTGCATATAATAAATTATGCAAATCTGACAGAATATATCAATTTCATAAATTCACAACCACAAGTAACTACTAGTATGGTGTTCTTCCTTTGGGACTACATTTAATAAGCTGATTCAGTCGTAAGTGTTAATTGTGTCACATATTGAAGTGATGCTTTAAAGGTCAATTGGACATCTTTTTTTGATATTCCAGTAAGAAATCAAATTAGGAATTATTTCAAAAACATATATATACAAAGACGAGGTTTAATTTGTCAGGTGAAAAAAGCGAGGAGACTTTTTTTCCTGAGTAGTTGTAATCAAATATCCCTTTTTAATTTAACACTTGAAATTCAAGTCCTATTTTGATTCATCTCTAATGCAACACTACTTAACTTAATCAACATAACAGTTAAAAAGTCCTCAAACTTAACCATGTCCAGGACTCTAATTTAAGGTCACGGTAAAAAAAAATGCTAGGTAAAAGTATCTTTGATAACATCAGTTGGGATTCTGTAACAACACTTCATTTCTTTAAAATACTCTAGGTTTAAGTTAGTCAGGTAAGACATTTAAGATAAAACCAGGGGGGGATTTTGTGACAATTCACCTGTTTAAATATCAGGTCTCTAGCTAGCCATAACAATCACATCTTAAGGTCAACCAAATTGTTTTCAAAACCAAACAATTAATTTAACCCTAAGAGGTTGCCTTACTCATAATAATAGTGAATCATGCTGAAAACTTCACTGAACTTCGGGGCCCATTTGACAAATTAACCAAAGCCTGAAAGGTGGTCGCAACTTTTAGTCACCAATTTGAGTCTGCTTGGGATTCAACATAAGTCTGTAGTAGGTGGTTGCCAGATTTATGATATGGAGTAACACTCAGATCAATTAGCTTACTTTTTAAGCAGAACTCTGTGGATTTATCT